CCACTGTCGCCCCATTTTTACAAATAGTCTGGCATTGTCTTCTGACCCTAAACACAACACACCAGACCAGATACAAGAGTATTATTACAAAGTATGAACTTTACATTGAATCTATGGAGTTATGGCCGTTCCCCTGACAAGCTAACTGACAAAGGAGTTTCAAAATCTAATCTAGAATAAATGTTAATATAAATTAAAATAATCCTTGAAACACAGATTTACAGATACTACATACACTACTGCAGCTTCTATATTAAGCTCGTGCCCGACACAATATTAACACCTTTTTAAAAGTGAAGTGCAGGATTTTAGAGGCAGCTGTGGTGAACAGGTCTGGGTTTATTCCACACATTACGACATGGCTGAAACATGTAGGGGGATTAAAATTCTTAGTTTTATCATTTTTAACTCTGTGTAGTTCCTTTTGAACAGAGGAAATAAATGGACCTGAAACAACTAATGGCTAAAGCGACAACTACTCGATTATTGAAATAGCTGTTTCTGTAATCAATCATTCTCTGCTAAATGCAGACAGTGGCTCAGTTGGTAGAGCATTGGCCTTTGGGCCTGATGGTCATGGGTTCGAGCCCACCAAAAGACCTACTTCACGACCCCCACTGATGTCTGCTGTCGCTGTGTCCTTGGCCAAGACACCCAACAACCCAACTTTGCCTGAAGCCCCCACTGAAAAATCAAGGCACACCACCTGCAGGAGGATCAGTGAGGGGCTGGTGCTGTGTGGACTGGGTGTAGCTCTGACTGCCACACTCCTGACCCAGAAATGGATTAAGGGGAAGAAAATGGATGGATGGAGTCCAAAAGAGCTAAAATTACATTGCTTATTTTTGATGGAAACCTTCTTTGTTTTTCAAGTTTGGTTATGTAGTAATTTGTACAATGAAAATGTAAAAAATATTTGTCATCCAATTCAAAACAGGGGTGCAACAAACTGTTATTTTGGCACTCGATTAATCTACCCATTATTTTTCATGATGAATCAATGAATTGCTTGGCTGTGAGTGTTTTTGGAGGCTCAGTACAAATTGGGCTTTGATTGGATGAGGCTGTATGTTTTCGGTAAATTGAAAATGACATAAAGATCTGTCTTGTTAATGTACTTTTTTCTCCATTTGAGTCTGTGTTTACTTTAGTTTACTAAAATATTCTTCAAATATTTAATTAATCAATTTGTTGTCGATTAATCAAGGAGTTGTTTCAGCCCTAATCATAAAGCAGAATTGCCAGATGAGCCTCCAAAAACACTTCAAGTTTACTCCAGCAAGTCCTCAAGCGGTGCCACAGTAGCTTTATGTGATTTCAAAAATTGAAAAATAATATTTCCTCAAAAACCATTCACAGCCAAGCGATTAATAGATTAATTCTGAAAATATTGGAAGATTAATGGCTAGTGAAAATATGACAATTTGAGTTAAGCAGACACTGAATAATCATTCCTGTTATTTAGAAGATCAGTCAATTTAGCGACCAATTTAGGAAGAAATTTGAGATATTCCAAACGGTGTACTTTTTCTTCCCACTGTACATGTTCAACCGTTATTTAATTTTTAACAAACCTATATAAAAGTTATATGCATTGAATTAAAAACATTTTTTTTGTTATGTTTACACAGCTACCTCTGACGAAGATGTGGAGGACCATACAGTTGCAAAATTTCGCAAATGTATTGCTGGCCCAAAAGTATTTTCAATAAGTATTAGCAAAAAAGATTGGGACTCAATTCTACCTCAATGTGGACAACAAATGGTGAAAGGAGATTGGACAACCGTTATGTACAAAGAATTCCAGAAGCAAAATCCCTCTTGCCCTCTTGTATTCCGCTATCAGCATTTACGAAAAACTGCAAGCCGAAAGAAGAACTGCCCATTTTTTCATGCAACTGCTAAGTGCAGTTTTAAAGATTGCAAAGCAACATACCATTTCATAAGAAACGCTTCACCTCAAGCAAAGAGAAATATCAGAGTAAAGGTCTACAGATTGGGAAAAATTCAACACTACAAAACAGAACAAAAAGGCAGACCAGCGACTTCAATTAGAAGAGGGGCAATTGCCAAAGCTGTGGCCAATGGAGTAAGCAACCACTATTATGATATGCTTAAGTCAACACCAACAGCTGAGCTCATGGCCGGTAATATCACAAGGAGCCTGACAAAAGATGTACTGAAGACAATTTCATATGAACTGAAGAAAACACAGCGTTTGCATGAAGACATGACATTAGAGATAATGCTCACACAGAAAATTCTAAAGGAAAGTGGAAGCCATCCCGCAACTAAAGGGTACCTACCCATAATTCAGCTAGATCCCTTGTGCCTCCATCTTCACACTGACATGAGCATTAACATTCTAATTGAACACCTTAAAAGGGGAGAGGTTTGTCTATACCTCGATGCCACAGGCGGAGTAATAAAGAAAATTCCTGGACAACCAAAGAGGATCCTCTATTATGCCCTTGTTCTACCAGGTAGTGGAAAGGACAAACCCCCGCTCCCTGTAAGTGAGTTGATCACAAACAGCCACTGTGTACCAACAATTTGCCACTGGCTTCATCAGTTCACCCGAAAGCTGTCGCTCTGCACCAAAAAAAGAGTGCGTCAAATCGAATGTGACCAGAGTTGGGCATTAATTAATAGTGCCCTTCTGGCATTCAACCAACAGGAAATCATGGCGTACTTGGAAAGGGCCTTTCAAATTGCAACCGGAAAATGCAACAAAATACCACAGTTTACTGTGTTGCACCTTTGTTCTGCTCACCTAATTAAATCGGCAAGAAATGCAATAACCAAAAAGTGTGATGACAAGCTTCTGTGTGACTTTTTCACTTACTGCATGGCTTTCTTGATGAACACCACAACAATACAACAAGCAGCTGACGTTTATTACCACCTCTGTGTGCTCCTGTTGTCAGAAGAGACTAATTCTTTGGTTGATCAAAGCAAGGATTTTCTCTCTAGCTGCATCTCCAAGAAAGCCATGCAGAAACAAGACATCTCAGAAAAAATTCCACCAGTTTCCAAGTTGGGCAAATCCATTGCCGAAAAATCTCCTTTTTCAATAGTATTTAATTTGCAAATGGAACAGGCAAAGGTAGATATACTCTCTGAAAGTCCTTCTGGAATTAAAAACGGAAACTTCTGCCCACAGCTCATCAAGTTGTTGCAAAAAAACTACATGGGGATTTTTCCCATGTGGAGTGGGGTTCTGCTCGGCGACCTGTCAAGGCACATTGCGGACACTACACCTCTTGGAAAACTCAAATCACGTGACACAAACTGTCATGTGGAGATGTGGTTTTGGCTGGTTAAGAACTCCATCCTTAAACAGAAACATTTACGGCCAGCTGAATTTGTCAACAAGATGTACTCATCGATGCAGGGAAGATACGTTGAGCATGTAATGAGACATCAAATGCCAACTTCAATATTGTGCAAAAACCCGGTAACATCCAAACCAAGGGACGATCCACAGGAAAATTGGCAGAAGAGGGACAGTTCAGGGGGACCAAAAAATAAGTCAAAATACTTCAGTGATGCCCCTCCGACTGTCGTCAAATTAAAAGCACACACTGACAGCAACCCTACAACAAACCAGGTATGTAAACATTGATTAATCATAGTCAAATCTTTGAGCAGTCATCTGTACTTTAGTACAGTGTTTTTCAACCAATGGGCCGCGGCACACCAGTGCGCCGTATAATAATGTCTGGTGTGGCGGGAGAAATTCTCTTACTTTGTCAAAAAATAACTGCATCCACGTTGGCGAGCGCTGACTTGTTTTTAACTGTACAGTATCCACATAATACTTTTTCATAACAGTAGGTGGCAACAGAGAGCTAAGTACTTTGAAACGTAGGAATAGGATGCGACCACTGGATGTAACAGTAGCGGGAGCCTTGTGGCGAGAAACGTAAAAATTGGTCGCGACCAACAAATGGTAGGGAGTGAGGAGCATTGTGGCAAGTGAGAAGTGAAAGTGATTAAGACGTTTCTGGAAAGGAATTATGCCATTTCTGAACACATCCTCACATCCTCCGCTCTGACCAGAACCTCATCCAAAGAGCTTAGTCAGCGACACTGAAATTGGTGACAATTTTAAGTTACTACAACTGTATTTGTACCAGTTGTTGTCCTTGGAATAAAGTAACTTATTTTGACAATTAAAAAATGTCATGAGCTATTCTGTCATTTAATCTCATATCAAGTTTTGCTCATACCATGGAACTTGTTTAAATTATTTATTTTATATTATTTTTAAAATCAACCCTTTGAACTGCTACTGTAACGTGCTGGTGTTATTTGAATGCCCGTAGAATCCTAGGAGCAAAAATTTGGCTTTCAAGTTATTTTTATACAAATGAAGCACAAAACTATACACAAGCATATGAGGCACATGAACGCTTAAATTATTATTATCAGAATATCTTGGTTTATAAACTATATATTATATGTTTGTAGAAAATGTCAGTATTAACCTTCTGTTGTATAAAATGACATGCATGACAAATTACACATTTCAAATGTAATTCTATTTCATTTTTTCAAATTATACAAATGGAAATATTAAGAGAAATTTAAATGCTGAAGCGTATTACGTTATAAGTTCTTGGATTGCAATCCCTATTAATGGGAAACAAAACACTACCCACATGGACATTTGAAACATGGACAAGTAGTGAGCGTGGTGTGGTCCAATGTTGTCATTGCATGCAATAGTTTACTGATTTACATGAACCCTAAGCCACAGAATATCTAAGCATGTGCACTAATTTTGAACCACTAATACGATAATACTCAAACTCCCTACGGTGTGTGTGACTGCTTTTATACCATGTACACACAGAGGACTCACGCCATACAAAGCAACATCACTTTGCACTGGAGAGT